ACAAAATTTTTAAATAGCATTATTCAAGTAATATAATTAAATGTTATTTCCACAAAATACTTGAAACTATATTTGTTTGTGCACTTAAATCTCCTGGGCATAAGGAAATGTTCAATTAAAATACCTATCATGTCTGTTCCCACTCTGAGCTTCCTTGGAAACATTTTTCATTGAACCTAGCTCTAACTTATAATTGTTTCTTGTTCTGATGATGGAAAGCAATTTTAAAAAGTGATTAACAATCGCCTGCATCCATATATGATCACTAGGGCATCACTTACATATCCCATCATGCAAGTATACCTTCTCAATTCTCTATATCTCTATATGACACACTATTCCTGTGGTTTCTGATGCATCATCAGATTTAACTGTTAAATTGATTTTCTTTCTTGCTCTCCTCACATATACTTCCAAGGGGTAGTAGAAGGGGAAGCAGTTTATGAACATCTAGATATAAACTGGCAAAATACTATAGATTGCTATGAACACAAAAAGTAGAAGAATGCATTTTTTATTATCGATATGAGAGAGAGAGTGAGGGGGGGGGATGGAGAGATGGAAGGAGGGAGAGTGGAACCTCAATTTGTTCTTCCACTTATTTATACATTCACTGGTTGATTCTTATATGTGCCTTGACCCAAAATGGAACCCACATACTTGGTGCGTCAGAATAAGGATCTAATCAACTGAACTACACGGCCAGGTCCCAGGATGTATTTCGGAAGAAGAAACTTTACATTCTAAATATTATCTACTTTATTCTATACATTATTTTTTCATGTTATAGATATTATATTATTTGGTATCTATTTGTGAAGATCTACTTAAGACTATCAGTAAACAGCACAAGACAATTTTCTACTTCAAAAATTTTAAATGTTTCTAAATAGATGTGCTTAAAAGGTAAATGATTTTTAATTTTTAAATTGCTTTAAATAAACCTTCTTACTCTTGACAACTGCTCAATTATAACGTTATACAATTACAGAAACTAAACATGATTTCCAGCAAGGTAACTCACTTTTCTGAGTAACCTTCTAGGGATGGTTGACAGAATTCTTCAAGCAAGTATACTGGAACTGCAGTACTCTGGGTCCTAGGATTCCTAATATAAACTCTCTCTATCCTATATTTTCTTTCCTTGAGATGGCATTCTAATAGCATCTCTACCAGAACCCTGAAGATAATTATGGCCTTGAGGTCTCTCCTCCTGTTCAACAGATAAAGTTCAAGTAATGGTTATAACCAAGTTGAATGGCAATCAAACATGCTATATTTTATTTCAATGTAAAGCCCTTTAATTATTTCTGTTTGAAATACATGGAAAGGAAAATTCAGGAAATTAACACTTATCTTAATACTAGAGGCCCGATATATGAATGCGTGCACATTGACAGAAATTAATTAGAAGAAGTATTTTAGAGGCCTGGGAGGGACCATGAGAGGTTGGCTCCAGGGCATGCCCGGCCCTTCTCACCCAGTCCCAGTAGGCTGGACCCCAGCAGGAAGCTGACCTACTTTTGGAGCATCTGCCTCTTGGTGGTCAGTGTGCATCATAGTGACTAGTTGAGCGGTTGACTAAGGGTCAGACACTTAGCATATTAGGGTTTTATATATATACATTTAGTGAGCAATTAAAAGTCTACGGGTACAAAGTAAAGTAAGCCGAATCTATAAAATGTAAAGAACCTTGCCTATCTCTTTTTCAAAATCCATTCTAAACTTAATCAATTTTTATAAAAACAGATAATAAAATCCCATTCACAGCATCATGGCTGGATAATAAAAGTTGGCATCCCTGTAAATTAAGATAAAATGTGCATTAAAGAATGAACTTTCGGACCTGGGGAAGAATGTCCCCAGCAAAGGCAGCAGCAAGTGCAGAGAGCAGAGGAGGAAAGCTCTGAGGGGCCAAGGTCAGCCATCCAGATCCCAGAGTGCCCTGGAGCCATGATCAGAACATAGGCTTTTTCTTTGGAGAAAATCAAGATGGCAGCATAGGTAAACACCAGAGTTAGCTGCCTCGAACAACCACTTCAAAAATACAACTAAAAGACGGAATGGACATCACCCAGAACCACAGGAAGACTGGCTGAGGGGGAATTCTTCAACTAGAAGGAAAGGGAACAGCATACGAGACTCAGAGGAGGCGCAGTGGGGAAAATACAAAGGTGCGGAGGTGCGTGCGGAGCGGGCTGACGGCTGAGGGCACAGTTGTCGTTTTCAATCGGAGGGAGTCTCAGGCTCTGAGCTCCAGTTCTGGGCGAGTCTCTAGGGATCCAGATTCAAACGGGAGAAGCGGGACTGTCTGGGTTCGGTCGGGACTCG